TAATTGCCTTGTAGTAAGAAAATGTGTTCTTTTTATTGGTAGAATTGTGGTGAAAAATTTAGCTTCTGATCTAGTAAGTGATCAATCCCTGTGCGTTTCCATAAGCTTGAAAAGACTGCATAATCTCTAATTGTGGGCCGGCGCCGCGGCTCACTAGGCTAATCCTCCACCTGCGGTGCCGGCACACCGGGTTCTAGTCCTGGTTGGGGCGCCGGTTCTGTCCCGGTTGCTCCTCTTCCAGTTCATCTCTCTGCTGTGGCCTGGGAAGGCAGTGGAGGATGGCCCAAGTGCTTGGGCCCTGCACCTGCATGGGAGACCAGGAGGAAACTCCTGGCTCCTGGCTTTGGTGCAGCATGCCGGCTGTAGTGGCCATTTGAGGGGTGAACCAACGGAAAAGGAAGACCTTTATCTCTGTCTCTCTCTCTCTCACTAACTCTGCCTGTCCAAAAAAAAAATCTCTAATTGTGGATGTCTTGCTTAGAGTTTCTAATGAGTGACTGACTGATTGATTCTTTGTCTTTCCCCTTACCTGAACCTGAACTGATATCTTCCTCAACATCTTGAGTTCCTTGACACTAAGACTGTTTCATTTTATAAAGTTCTTCCCTGTCTAGTCTCACAATCAGAGTCCTGTCTCTCAACTCAAAACAGGAAAAGAATGAGCAGGACTACCACAGCAACTCGTGGAACACCTCACCTTTCGAATGATTACAATCTTCTGCTAAATCAACCTCCCTTGTTCTGCCGCCACCCAGGACAAAGTCCCCTCAACATTCTTTCTGTTTCCTTGATGGTCTGGCAATAAATGTAGTGACTGAAAGACCAGAGTCTTGATACTCCAAGCACACAGCCATTTCTATGTCCGGAAGACTATGAGGACAGCACAGTTTGCCATCAGCTCACCCGGATCTTCTCCTTGGCTCCTGCACTTGGGACAGCTGTTCTCATTCCTTCTCTCTCACTAAATTATCCAATCCATCCCTGCTGTCATCTGTTTCCATGGCATGAAATCACTGCACTGGAATCCGTATGTGGCCCTTGTGCTGATATTGTTTTTCAGTCTTCTCGAGCTGGGGTCAGGTAAGCTATCCAGAACAATTTCTCTCTATATGCTTTTGAAGACCAACAGATTGAATTCGTTACCTGCAATCATTGTACTGCAATGGAGTTGGGCAGATTTGTTATTTGTATTCTTCCAGCTTCTCCTAACCCGAGCCTGGTATTTACCAATACAAAGGGCTATGGGAGACATGGGGCAGTGGGAAGAACTCAGGCACTAGAGACACTAGTATAGTAGCCCAGAACAAGTTGAGGAGAGTGAAGCACAAAGGTAGGAATGCCATAGAGAGTTGTTAAAGGGTAGGTTAATGCTGAGGGCAACTGGGATTCAGTCTCATTGAGATAATCTGAGAAATTTTTTTGAGGAATTCTGTATACAATGGCTCAGAATAATCTCAGTAAGACCTAAAAGATGTTTGGTGCTCACTTACTGCATGCTGTTCCCCACTGGTTATGATGTATCCTCAGGATGGTTAAAATCTTGGTACTTCTAGGCTGTCCTGCCCTAACTCAGTCCCAAAGAGTAGGAAGGAGGGTTACAGCTCAAAGGTCAGGTTTCTGAGGTGGAGCTTTCAGTGGGCAGAAGAAGCACCAATTGCTATGTAGGGGGACTCAGGTGGAGTTGTGAGTTGAGAAGCAGTTCTGAAGCATCTGCTTCTTCAGGTCAACAGCTGATCAGTTTATTCTGAAAAGTCAGATTTCATTTAGTAACTGCCTCCTTTTCATAGTAATGAATTGTATATCACACGAAGAATTGGAGGATAGGAGCAAATAGCCTCAACACAGTAGAATGTGGGGTGAGGGGAGTTGGAGATGATGATTGGTCATTTAATTAGTTAATGCTGTGTGCACGTGTTGAAATATTATACTGACCCCCACAACATCCAAATACTGCATTTTAATAAAATTAATAAAATAAAAATCATATAATAGGTATTTATATATAATATAAACCCATGTAAGAGGGTGTATATAAAAGACTGTGAAATAAGCCTGTGAAGGATGGGGCTATCAACCCAGAGATTGGGAGCTTCAGTGGTGACTGAGATGGGATGAGGTGAAAGTCTGAGTCAATTACACAGTGCATAGTCTGAGTTCTTGGGTAACTCCTTGTTGAGAAAACTTGGGCAGCCTTGTTCTTCGCTCCCAGGCTGAGACACAGCCAGATATGCAACTGTGTCCAGGTGGTTTTTCTGGTTTGGGTAAGGCAGGTGAATGGCAGCTGGTATGGGTCATGCATGAAGGAGAATCCAAGGCAGGAGGTTAATTGGTAACGATCAGGCTGGGGGAAGTGCTGCAAGTGGCAGATCACACACAATGGGTGTCTGTCCTGTAGTTCTGCAGGGTCCACAGCACATGTAGCACTATTTCTTTCCCTCCAAAATAGAAATTGCAGCTATCTCAGAGCTCTTGGAAAGCTCTAATAAAATAATGACCATAATTATAGGTCTTAAATCACCATCAGTAGTACTTATTATTAATATCAATTAACTTTACTGCCACACATAGTTCACTACTGACCAAAGAAAACCTAGTAGGAATGCTGTGCTGTACTTGGAAAATGAGTGGCACTGCATTCAGGTGCCAGATCTTGGCAATCTCCTCCTCTACCTCCTTTCCCAAATCAATGAGAAAATGAAGGACAGTAACTTTGAATTGAAGTTATATTGTGAAGAAACAAGCACTGATCAAATGCAGAAACTTCCTACCAGCCTTTACTCCTTGACATATGTGCCTAAATGAAGAAAGCTAGACTTGCTGTTCTTTGTTCTCTTTATCCACATCAAATAAAAATACAGGGAAATACTCTGCAAAGTCTTGCTTCTTGGTGGGCATTGTGAACAATGGTAATTTTCTAGAGCATTTAAGTCATTTTTAGAATCAACAAATTATACAGATTTGATTGTATAAATTAAGTTTATAAATTAGCAAAATAAAAGTGATTTAATTCAGACATGAAAAGAATCGTGGAGGGGCCAGCACTGAAGCATATTAGGTTAAGCCTCCCTCATACATGTCCCAGCTGCTCTTCTTCCTATCCAGCTCTGTGTGGCTTGGGAAGGTCTGGAAAATGGCCCAAGTGCTTGGGCCCCTGCACCCACGTGGGAGAAGAACAAGCTCTTGGATCCTGGTTTTGGATCAGTTCCTTTCTGGCTGTTGCAGCCATTTGGGAAGTAAGCCAGCAGAAGGAAGAGATTTCTCTCTGTCTCTCCCTCCTTGTCTGTTACTGTATCACTTAAATAAACAAGAAATCTTTTTTAAAAGAAGATTTGTCTATTTATTTGAATGTCAGAGTTACACAGAGAGGAGAGTCAGAGAGAGAGAGGTCTTCCATCCACTGGTCCGCTCCCCAATTGGCTGTTAACAGCCAGAGCTGTGCTGATCTGAAGCCAGGAGCCAGGAGATTTTCTGGGTCTCTGATGTGGGCACAGGGACCCAAGGACTTGGAGGCCATCTTGCACTGCTTTTGCAGACCATAGCAGAGAGCTGGATTGGAAGTGGAGCTTCTGGGACTCGAACTGGCATCCATATGGGACAGCAGCACTGTAGGCAGTGGCTTTATACACTATACCACAGTGCCAGCCCCACAAAAACTCTTTTAAAAAAGAATTATGGAATACATTTCAGAAAGATTTATAAAAATTTAAAGTAAAAAAATGATGGTAAATGTTTTACATTTATTTGGACCCATTTTACCTTCAATTTACATGCAGTGCGCCATATGTACACACATACTTTCATGCATAAATTAGTAAATAAGAACATGTGAATTCACCAAAAGACATTTCCCAAGAGAATGTATACATATACATTGAAGGTAGCAGGCCTTAAAATGCTAATTGTGTTTTTACATCAGGAAAATTACTAAAGTGACCATTAAATAGGTGAGGAAGTGAGAGAAGAAAATGCAGTCCAGGAGTCAAACATGTAACCATTGTTTCTGGAGCCAATACTTTGTGCTGGACATAGGAGATATTATGCTGAGCAAAAGAGGTAGGTCCTATCCTCCATGGAGTTGAGAATAATGCAGGAGAGATGCATAGAGAAAATTCTCATCACATTAGAAAATCAATGATGAGGAAATTTCTAAAATGCAAATGAGGTCAAATATGTACCAAGCAATATGAAAGAAATAAAAACAGAATATGTTGATAAGGTATAAAATCAAGTGCTATCCAAGACCAGAAATCTTAAAGTGGAAAAACATTATATAAGTGTAGATAAAAGGTACTTGTTATAGAAAAGATACACCAAACATGAATGCTCGAAAGAACACAGATCTCTGAAATAAAAATCACAGAATCTATTCATCGCAAGGTTGGGTCATGTCTTTCCAACTTTAGTAGAAAAAGTAGATAAAAAATTAAGGAAGCATAGAAATTAAAAAAAAATTAAGGAAGCATAATTACATGTTTAATCTGTGGTCTGAGATATTTACTCCTATATTACACTAATGTAATATTTACAAAACCTAATCATATGTTTGAAGGACACCTAAGCAAATTGCCTCAAACTGGAGATTGATAATGTCATCCATCCCCCTCGAGTTATTGGGAAAAGGGTAGTTCTTTGGTTTTAAACAAAGGAAATAGAAAAGAGGCTGTTTTAAGTTTGTAGTAAAGCATAGGGACAGAGAGGAGAGAATGTAGATATAGAATCCAGTCTGGCCAGAGAATCTCCATTTGGAAAGTGCCTTCTGGAAAATAAAGTGTCTCTGAGACAGTTTTCTCATCTGGAAAACGGGAATATTAATAAGACACACTTCTAGAGGTGTTTGTAAGGATGAGTAAAGTAATTGATGTTCTATCAAGTGCAAGCCACTGGGTTTGATAAAGATCATAACGACTATACAACCTCATACATCAGCAGTTTATTGCAGCCCTAAGCAGGACACACTGACAAGGGTTTTGCTCTGCTATTTGTTGTGCTTCCTCCTACAGGCCAATGGCAGGTGATTGGGCCAGAAAACCGTGTCAAGGCCTTCGTGGGGCAGGACACAGTGTTCTCCTGCTCTCTCTCTCCTGAGACAAATGCAGAGTTCATGGAAGTGCGGTTCTTCAAGCAACGGTTCTCTGCCATAGTCCACCTCTACCAGCATGGAAAAGACCAGGAAAATAAGCAGATGCCAGACTATCAAAGAAGAACTGAGTTGGTGAAGGACGGCATTGTAAATGGGCAAGTGTTACTGAGGCTAAAGAAAGTCATTCCCTCAGATGCTGGCTTGTATGGATGCTGGTTCAGCTCTCAGACTTATGAAGATGAGGCCACCTGGGAGCTGGAGGTGTCAGGTCAGTTGCTAATTTCAAATGACTTATGACCTAGTTGTCTCATAGTACTATCCTGAACTTTATAAAGAATTTTTCGAAAGTGAGTTTTTTTTTTTTTTTGACAGGAAGAGTTAGACAGTGAGAGAGACAGACAGAGAGAAAGGTCTTCCTTCCATTGGTTCACCCCCCAAATGGCTACCACTGCTGGTGCGCTGTGCCAATCTGAAGCCAGAAGCCAGGTGCTTCCTCCTGGTCTCCCATGCAGGTACAGGGCCCAACCACTTGGGCAATCCTCCACTGCTATCCCAGGCCACAGCAGAGAGCTGGACTGGAAGAGGAGCAACCGGGACAGAACCAGCACCCCAACCGAGACTAGAACCCGGTGTGCCGGCGCCACAGGCGGAGGATTAGCCTAGTGAGCCGTGGGGCCGGCAGTTTTTTTTTTTTTAATATTTATTTATTCGCTTGAAAGTCAGAGTCACAGAGAGAGGAGAGGCAGAGAGAGAAAGGCCTTCCATCTGATGGTTCAATCCCAATTGGCCGCAATGGCCGGAGCTGCTCTGATCTGAAGCCAGGAGCCAGGAGCCTCCTCTGGGTCTCCCACATGGGCTCAGGGACCCAAGGACTTGGGCCACTTTCTACTGCCTTCCCAGGCCATAGCAGAGAGCTGTATAGAGAGTAGAGCAGCCAGATCTCAAACCGGCACCCATATGGGATGCTGGCACTTCAGGCCAGGGAGTTAACCCACTGTGCCACAGTGCTGGACCCTAGAAAGTGAAGGTTTTTTTAATTTTAGATATTTGCTTAGAAGACATTGCCAACTTGTTACATGTTATATGTGTAGTGCTATGCCATTTTATTATGTACATAAATTTATGCAAAACCACTATCACAACATTGAGCTGTCCCACCACCATAAAAATCTTCCTCTGCTACCATTTTATATTCATGCCCATCCTCATCTGTCCCACCACCCTAGTTAAATCCTGGAAATCATTAATCTGCTTTCCATAACTTAAATTTTAACAATTAAATAATGTTGTACAATTATATAAAAGCATACATATGACCTTTTGAGATTGGGTTTTTAACTTTGTGTAATGACCTTAATTTCCATTCATATCATTGCTTGTATAAGTTTATTCTTTTTTATTGCTGAATATAATAATGTACATATTTTTGCATGGACAAAAGTGTTAATTGTTCTGATAAATGTCCATAAATGTGGTTTCTGGAAGCTACAAATATATATATTTGATTTGTTTTTTATTATAGTGGCTTAATTTGGGCAAGAACAAAATACCATAAAATGGATAGTTAATAAAGAAAAGAAATTTATTCCTCACTTTTCAGGAGACAATAAGTATACCAGCATGGTAACATTCTGGTGAAGGTCCTCATCCAGATTGCAGCCTGCGCAGTTCTTTTTGTAACTTCACAAGGCACTAAGAAAACTCCCTGGGATTCCCTTTGTTAAAGCACTATACCCGGTAATATGTATTCAACCTCCCAAAGACCACGTCTCTTAATGCTATTACATTGGAAGTTAGGACTCCAAGAGTATTTTCAGGGAGTGCACTAGTACATTGCTTATAATTTTTATTTTTTTGAGAGGTTTTGTATTTACCAGCAAACTCAAAATATATAATTCTGCTGTACCCAATACTATTGTTTGGCTATTAATGTGTCTCCCTAAGATTAATGAGTTGAAAGTGTGGTGATATCAAGAAGTGATAGGACTTTTAAGAGGTGGTGCCTAATGGAAACTTATTAGCACCACATACTATACTTGGAAAGGATTAATATTCTCATGGCATCCCCATCCCCTGCTTCAGATTCCATCAAGTGGTCTCTCCCTCTCTCACACTCCTGCCATTGTAATGACACCCACTTGTGAATATTTGTGCCATGCTCTTGAACCTCTAGAATTGTGAGCTAAATACTCCTATTTTCTATATAAGGTACCCAGTCTCAGGTATTTCATTATAATAACAGAAAACCAATACATCCCTCATTCACTTCTTCTGTTTCCCCTTTATTGTTAACTTCTTGCATCGTTGTTGTAAATTTATTACAACTGAAGAGTCCATGTTGGTACATTACTATTACTATTGCAATCATTGGGTTCAGTTTATGTTTTGTATTCTATGAATTTTTTTTGACAGGCAGAGTGGACAGTGGGAGAGAGACAGAGAGAAAGGTCTTCCTTTTGCCGTTGGTTCACCCTCCAATGGCCGCTGCGGCCGGCGCACCACGCTGATCCGATGGCAGGAGCCAGGTACTTCTCCTGGTCTGCCGTGGGGTGCAGGGCCCAAGCACTTGGGCCATCCTCCACTGCACTCCCTGGCCACAGCAGAGAGCTGGCCTGAAAGAGGGGCAACCGGGACAGAATCCGGCGCCCCGACCGGGACTAGAACCCGGGGTGCCGGCGCCAGAAGGTGGAGGATTAGCCTAGTGAGCCATGGCGCCGGCCTGTATTCTATGAATTTTAAACAATGTCATTGACCTAAAAATCTATCTATTCATCCCTGCCCCAAATCTCAAGCCTCTGAATATCACTGGTCCTTTTCTGTCTCCAAATAATTGTCTTTACAGAATATCAATTAATGGAATACCATATACAATCTGTAGTGTTGTTAGTTGGGTCCTTTCACTTATCAGCTTGTATTCAAGCTCCTGAATGAGTTATTATAATTTGATAGCTCTTTTTTATTATGGTAAAATAAAGGTAACAAACTGCTCCATCTTCATTCTTTTAAAGTGTATAATAAATGGCATTAACTACAATCATGTTGCACTATTATCATCACTACTATCAATACCTAGAACATTTTACAATCTAAACCACTAAAAGATACCCTTTTTTTCTTTAGCCATCTCTGTGGTAATCAATATTTTGTTTTCCAACTTTGTGAATTGAGTATTATAGATACCTCATATAAGTGGAATAATGTAATATTTGTTCTTCTATGTCTAAGTTGTTTCCCCTAGCATAAAGTTTCCAAGGCCCATCCATACTGAAGCATATAACAGAATTCAGTTACTTTTTAAAATTTTTAAGTTTATTTATGTATTTTTTCCATTTTGTTTGAAAAGTAAACGCACATAAAAGAAAGAGACATAGAAAGACATCTTCCACTTGTTGGTTTATTGCCAAAATGCTCCCAAAAACAGGGCCTGGGAGAGGCCAAAGCCAGGATCCAGGAACTTAGTCCATCCCTCCCACATGGGTGATAGGTATCCAACTACTTGAGCTATCACTGCTGCCTCCCAGGGTGTGCAGCAGCAGAAAGCTGAAATTTCAAGTAAAGCTGTGACTAAAACCCAGTAAGTCCCAGATGGAATGCAGGAGTCCCAAGCTGTGTCATAACCACTGTGCCAAATGTCTGCCTCAGAATTTTATTACTTTTGAAGGCTTAATATGATCCTTTAGTATTATATAAGAACTTTTATTCATCAACTCATTCATTAATAGTCATTCGAGTTGTTTCCATCTTTTGCTAGTGTGGATAATGCTACTATGAACACTCGTATAGAAATATCTGTCCAATTCTCGGCTCTCAATGTTTTGGTAATTACAAAGAATTGGAATTGCTAGATCATATAATGATTCCATTTAGTTTTTTGAGGAACCAGAATATTGTTATTTAAAGCAGCATCCCCACCAACAGTTTACAAGGATTCGATTTCCCCCACATTTGCTAAAACCTACTATTTTCTGTTTGGTTTTGGTAATAGGCATTTTAATGGTTGTGAAGGGGTATCTCATTGTGTATTTGATTTGATTTACTCTGTTAATAGTAATATTAAGCACCTTTCATGTATTTTCTGGGCATTTCCATAACTTCTTGGAGAAATATCTTTGAAGAACTTTGCCCATTTTTAAATGGGATTGTTCCTTGTTATAAACGGGATTGTTCCTTGTTAATTTGCAGGAGTACTTTACACACTACAGATTTCGACCATATCAGATGTCTGAATTGCAAATACTTTTGACCATTACATTAGTTTTGCTTTCTTCATAGTGTCTTTGGATACATAATTTCTTATAGTTTCAAAAGTCTAATTTATTATTTGTTCCTTGATTGTGCTTTTGGTACCATATGTAAGAAATAATTGCTAAATCCAAAGTCATGAATTTCTCTCAATGTTTTCTTAAAAGTGATTTATAGTTTTAACTTATATTTAGATTTTTAAACATTCATGA